AACTTACCGCCCCACAAGAACAATGTGGCCTCTTCCTCGCAGACAACGTCTTCCTCTACAGTCAACTCTTGATTCAGAAAACAGACCCTTCTAACGCAATTGCTTTTTTATTGATTTTATTGATCTCTACATTTTTCTATGCTCCCCTCCCTGCCTCTCTCCTCCCCTTCTACTCTCTCATGATCCCCATGCTCCCAGTTTACTTAGAAGGTCTTATCTCGTCTTTTTCTACTTCCCATGTATAATAGACCCATATATGTCTCTCTTAGGGTCCTCATTGTTGTCTAGGTTATTTGTGATTGTGAATTGTACGCTGGTTTTCTTTGCTTTATGTCTAAAAGCCACTTATGAGTGAGCACATATGATAATTGTCTTTCTGGGTCTGAGTTACCTCACTCAATGTGATGTTTTCTAGATCCATCCAGTTGCTCACAAATTTCAAGATGTCATCATTTTTCCCATTGTGTAGTACTCCATTGTGTAAATGTACCACATCTTCATTATCCATTCTTCAGTCGAAGGGCATTTAGGTTGTTTCCAGGTTCTGGCAGTGACACATAAAGCTGCTATGAACATAATTGAGCACATGTCCTTGTTGGTACGATTGAGCATCCTTTGGATAGATACCCAAAAGTGGTATTGCTGGGTCTTGAGGAAGGTTGTTTCCTAATTTTCTGAGAAATCACCACACTGACATCCACAGAGGTTGTACCATCTTGCATCTCACCAGCAATGCAGGAGTGTTCCCTTTTCCCCACAACCTCTCCAGCATAAGTTGTCATCCGTGTTTTTGATCTTGGCCATTCTGAAACGTGTAAGATGGAATCTCAGAGTTGTTTTGATTTGCATTTCTCTGATGGCTAAAAATGTTGAGCATTTCCTTAAGTGCCTTTCAACCATTTTAGATTCCTCTGTTGAGAGTTCTCTGTTTATGTCTGTACCCCATTTTTTTATTGGGTTATTTGTTCTTTTGATGACGAATTTCTTGAGTTCTTTGTATATTTTGGAGACCAGACCTCTGTCTGATCTGGGTTTGGTGAAGATCTTTTCCCATTCTATAGGCTGCCATTTTGTCTTGCTGACCACGTCCTTTGCTTTACAGAAGCTTCTCAGTTACAGGAAGTCCCATTTATTAACTGTTTCTCTCAGTGTCTGTGCTACAGGGGTTAAACTTAGGAAGTGGTCACCTTTGCCAATGTGTTCAAGTGTACTTCCCACTTTCTCTTCTATGAGGTTTAGTGTGATTGGTTTTATGTTGAGGTCTTTGATCCATTTGGACTTGAGTTTTGTGCATGGTGATAGATATGGATCTATTTTCAATCTTCTATATGTTGATATCCAGTTATGCCAGCACCATTTGTTGAACATGCTTTCTTTTTTTCCATTTTGTGTTTTTAGCTTCTTTGCCAAAAATCAGGTGTTTGTAGGTGTGTGGACTGATATTCAGGTCTTTGATCCAATCCCCATTGGTCCTCCTGTCTGTTTTTATGCCAATACCAGGCTGTTTTCATTACTGCAGCTCTATAGTAGAGTTTGAAATTCGGGGTTGTGATGCCTCTAGAAGTTCTTTTGTTGTACAGGATTGTTTCAGCTATCCTGGGGTTTTTTGTTTTTCCATATGAAGTTGAGTATTGTTCTCCAGAGGTCTGTGAATAATTTTGCTAGGATTTTGATGGGCATTGCATGGAATCTGTAGATTGCTTTTGGTAAGATTGCCATTTTTACTATGTTAATTCTACCTACCCAAAGGCATGGAAGATCTCTCCATTTTCTGGTGTCTTCTTCAATTTCTTTCTTCAAAGTTTTTAAGTTCTTGTCATTCAGGTCTTTTACTTGTTTGGTTAGCATTACCCCCAAGTTATTTTATGTTATTTGTGGCTATTATAAAGGGTGATATTTCTCTGATTTCTTTCTCGGCCTATTTATTACCTGTATAAAAAATGTCTACTGATTTTTTTCAAGTTAGTCTTGTATCCTGCTACATTACTGAAAGTGTTTATGAGTTGTAGAAATTCCTTGGTAGAATTTTCGGGGTCACTTATATAAACTATCATATTATCAGCAAATAGTGAGAGTTTTACTTTTTTTCTGATTTGTATCCCATTGATCTCCTTTTGTTGTGTTATTACTCTAGCTAGAACCTCAAGTACTATATTGAAAAGATATGGAAAGAGTGGACAACCTTGTCTTGTTCCTGATTTCAGTGGGATCGCTGGGAGTTTCTCTCCATTTACTTGGATGTTGGCTGTTGGCTTGCTGTATATTGCCTTTATTATGTTCAGGTATGTTCCTTGTATCCCTGCTATCTCCAAGACCTTTATCATGAAGGAATGTTGTTCTTTGTCAAAGGCTTTTTCAACATCTAATAAGATGATCATGTGGGGTGTTTTTCATTTGTTTATATGGTGGGTTACACTGACAGATAATCATATGTTGAACCATCTCTGCATCTCTGGGATGAAGCCTTCTTGGCCATGGTGAATGATTTTTCTGATGTGTTCTAAGATTTGGTTTTCCAGTATTTTATTGAGTATTTTTACATCAATGTTCATGAGTGAGATTGGTCTGTAATTCTCTTTCTTTGTAATGTCTTTGTGTGGTTTGGGTATCAGGGTAATTATAGCCTCATAAAAAGAGTTTGGCAATGTTCCCTCTGTTTCTATTGTGCGGAACAATTTGAGGTGCATTGATAGTAGTTCTTCTTTGGAAAATCTTGTAGAATTCTGTACTAAAACCATCAGGTCCTTGGCTTTTTTTGTTGGGAGACTCTTGATGACTATTTCTATGTCCTTAGAGGTTATAGGTCTATTTAATTTGTTTAACTAGTCTTGATTTGATTTTGTCAAGTGATATTTATCCAGAAAATTATCCATTTCCTTTCAGTTGTTCAATTTAATCCTGCACTTGGGAGGCAGGACCAGGCAGATCTCAGTGAGTTCGAGACCAGCCTGGTCTGGTCTACAGAGTGAGTTCCAGGGCAGCTAGGGCTACATGGAAGCTCACAACTGTCTGTAACTCCAGGATCCAACACCCTCACACTGACATACATACAAGGCAAAACGCCAATAAAAAATTGAAATAAAATAAATAAGAGTGTGTGAAGTTAAGAAGCTTCTCCACAGCGAAGAGAATAGTCACTAAAGTAAAGAAACAGAAGAGGAGAAACAGTTTTGCCAACCGCCCATCATGCAGGGGATTAGTGCCCAAAATACATGAAGAACTGCAAAAATTAAACACCAAAAACCCTATAAGCCATCCAGTCAATGAACAGCTAATGAACAAATGAATACTTGAAAAAGAACTCAGCGTATTCGGCCATCAGAGAGGTCCAAAATAAGACGTTGTGAGACTCCATCTCATTCTCCTCAGAACGGCCACCATCAACAGAGCAAATGACAACAGTTCTGGCAAGGATGTGCAAGTGCGGACTTGAATAACCACTCTCGTTCCTCGTGGTTATGTTTAATTGTTGTGAAACGCGCACTGTGAAATTTATCCTCTTAGCCACATTAAGTATGTCTTTCAGAGATGCTAAGTACTTTAATCATGTCCAGAACTCATGTGACCACACTGAAATTCTGCCCCACTAAGAGAATCCACATCACACCGTCCCCCAGCCTGGAAACCACCATGGTGCTTTCCGTCTTTCTAAATATGTTTTCCAGAGTATCCTACGTAAAAGGAATCACACAGGCCCTGTCTTCGTGTGACTAGCTTGTTCCACTTAGGCAATGCCCTCAAGGCTTGCCCATGTTACCATAAGCATCAGAATTCCCGTCCTGTTAGAGGCTAAGTGGGTTGTAGGCATAGACCCCAATTCACTTATACATGCGTATGCTTTCTTGATGCTGTTGTGAACATGAATATGAAAATATTTCTTCGGTATGCTGTGTCTGGGGCCAGAGAGATGGCTCAGCAGTTAAAAGTACTTCCTGCTTTCACAGAAGGCCTAAGTTCCGCTCCCAGCACCCACCCAGAGTGGCTCAAAGCTGCCTGTAACTCCAACACCAGAGGATCCAATATGCGTCTAGTGACCCCACGCATATTCAGGCAAGCACTCAAACATACAATACGTGAATCCTTCCAGAGATGCTCTGTGTCTTCGTCCATCTGTGCTATCATAACAAAATACCTTTTGTATTTGGACTAATTTTGTAATGGGCTAATTTTGCTTTTACAGTCTCAGAGCTGAGAAACTCTTCTTTCTACATTCTCACAAGGAGAAGACAGAAGGCGGAGTAAGGCCTCACCAGCTTGTCCTCTTGTAAGATCGTTACGCTGTTCATGAGGACTCCGGCTCAGAGCCTGGCCACTTTCTGATACTACCACACTCAGGAGGTGACATAAAGTTTCAGAGAAGGCTCTGTCGACTGTAGCAAGGAGCTCAACGTTCCCTGAGTTAGCTGGACACAGTCACCCAAAGGGTGATGCTCTCAGCATTACCAAAAAGTATATAAAAAGCGAAAGCTAGGAATTTGTGGTGTGAACATTGATGTATAAGGTCTGTTCTCTTTACATGAACAAGTATTTTAAGGTTTATCAAAAGCTATTCTTGTATATGTCAGCTCAGGGATTTTTTCTCTCCCCCCACCCCCAATCATATTTGCCAATCCCTGCCTGCCCCAGCTCCCTCTTACCCAGGCTTCTTTGACTTAAAAAATTATTAAATTAATTCAAGTGCTATGTTTATAGAAACAAAGTATTTCCTAAGATATAGTTTACAGATACTTCCAAAATTATATACTATTTGGAATATTTTAAATATCGTGCGAAATCACCACAGCCTTAGACAACTCTTTCTGTTTTTATTATCATCTGAAGCTAAGTTTATTGTATTTTAAAAGTAGCCCTTGTCCAAAATAAACCAGGAAAGATATTAATGCTGAAAACGTTTTTATAAAATTTCTGGGAATCTTCCCCACAAAATGAAGGAAAGTGTATTTGTAAAAACTTAGTTTTTAGCAGCTCCATGCCTAGCCCATGGTCTGTTTCACACTCACCTCCCCTCCATGAGGAACGAGCTCAACTCTGAGTGTTCAGGAACACAGAGGCTCTTCCCAGCCGCCTGGCCAGCATAGGGGATGCAGGGGTCCGCTTGGCCATGCTGGTGGTTTCCGGTGGTGGGTCCTGCTGTCACCAGCCGTCCAGGGTCGGAGCATATTGGGACTGACACAGCAGAAGTCTGGAGGAGTTCCACCTCCAGTACGGCTGAGGTCAGCCTGATGTCTTTGTTCTCCAGATGCATGTCCTGTCGCCACTCCTTCTAGGTCAAACAGAAAGAAGCCACTTACTGCTGCTGCAAAGCAAACTCCGTACCACCAGAGGGTAGCTAAGACACAGCCCTTCTAGAAGGACACACAGGAGAAGTGTGTGTTTGTCTTCAAGACTGACAACACAGTACATTTCATACTAGCAATGGTCTGCACCTTCTATAATACACAATGCATTTTTTCAATTATGCAAATTTTTTAATTTTCATTTTATTTTTATTGTACAATATATTTTGATCATAGTCTTTTCCTCTCCCCCAGTTTCTCCCAGATCCCTCCCATCATACTACCCACCCAATTTCATATTCTTTTTCCCTCAAAAAAAAAACAAACAGCAATTAAAAAAATGAAAATCAAAACAAACTAAAATCACGTGTGCATACATGTGTGTGTGCGCGCACACACACATCCATGAAGGCCATTTTGTGTTTGCCAGCACTCTTGGCATTTGACCTGCCCTGGAGTGCTGATGATGCACCCAGTGTCACTCTGCTGGAGAAATCTGCTTTTCCTGTTTTCAGCAGTTGACAGTTGTGAACAGCCCATTGGTCAGGACCGGGACTTTGTGTCCAGTTTCCCTTTTCAGCGCTTGGATTTAGAATACAAAACATTTTAAGATGTGCCTAGTATGAAATACTGTGAAGCCATAAAAATTATGGAAAGGGCTGTTCAATGCTATTGGTAAATATTGAGAATATATAGGGGGCTGGAGAGATGATTCGGCAGTTAAGAGCACTGACTGCTCTTCCAGAGGACCAGGGTTCAAGTCCCAGCACCCACATGGCAGCTCACAACTATCTGTAACTCCAATCACAAGGGATCTGATATCCTCACACAGAAATACATGCAGATGAAACACCAATGCACATGAAATAAAAATAAGTTATTTTTTTAAAAGAAAGATGTTTCATTTAAAAGTTTTAATTTGAATCCCCTTGATCTCCTTATGGAGAACCTGGAAACAACCAAGATGCCCCTCAATGGAAGAATGGATAAAGAAAGTGTGGCACATTAGAGTACTACTCAGTGTTAAAAAACAATGACATCTTGAATTTTGCATGCAAATGGATGAAAATAGAAAACACTATCCTGAGTGAGATAACTCAGACCAAAAGATGAATATGATATGTACTCACTCATTAGTGGATTCTAGCCATAAACAAAGGACATTGAGTCTATAGTTCACGAGCCTAGAGAAGCCAAATAATAAGGTGAACCCAAAGAAAAACATATATAGACCCTCCTGGAAATTGGAAGCAGACAAGATCACTGGGCAAAAGTTGGGAGTGTGAGGGTGGAGGTAGGGTGGGGGGAAGGGGAGAGGGGGAGAGAGAAGGGAGAAGGGAAGGATCAGGGAGAGCTTGGGGGAGTGGGATGGTTGAGATGAAGGAAGGGCGGATATAGGAGCAGGGAAGAAGATATCTTAATTAAGGGAGCCATTTTAGGGTTGGCAAGAGACTTGGCTCTAGAGGGGATCCCAGGTGTCCATGGGGATTTCCCCAGCTAGGTCCTTGGGCAGCAGAGCAGAGGGTGCCTGAACTGGCCTTGTCCCATAGTCACACTGATGACTATCTTGAATATCACCATAGAACCTTCATCGGGCAATGGATGGAGAGAGAGACCCACATCGGAGCACTAGACTGAGCTCCCAAGGTCCAGTTGAAGAGCAGAAGGAGGGAGAAGATGAGCAAGGAAGTCAGGACCACGGAGGGTTGGTCCACCTACTGAGACAGTGTGCCTGAGCTAATGGGAGCGCACCAAGGCCAGCTCGACCGGGACTGATGGATCATGTGATCAAACTGGACTCTCTGAATGTGGCTGACAATGGGGGCTGACTGAGAAGCCATTGATAATGGCACTGGGACCTGTTTCTACTGCACGTACTGGTTTTTTGGGACCCTAGTCTATTTGGATGCACACCTTCCTAGGCCTGGATGTAGGGGGGAGGGCCTTGGACTTCCCACAGGGTAGGGTAACCTGCCTTCTCTTAAGACTGGAGGGGGAGGGAGGAGAGGGAGTGGGGGAGTGGGAGGGGAATGGGAGGAGGGGAGGAAGTGGAGATTTTGAATGGAAAATTAAATGTAAAAAAAGTTTTAAAAATATATATGAAAAAGACTATATGAAAGACAACCTATGCTGTGTGATATTCCTATGGAAACATGAATAGTTTACTGTACAATGCTTCAGAGCAAAATATCCTGCAAAGCATGGTACCTCTGACTAGGCTTTTAATGTCTTTCTTTCTTCCTTAAGGTGTTTACAATGTTTGCTCCTAATTGTATTGATATATATATATATATAATGTTGCTATAGAAATGAGAAAATACACTGTAACATCCCTTTGAGGCTATGTTTCAAACCATTTGCTACTTTTATTTTTCATATTTTATAGCACCCAATAACTCAAGCAATGATCTCCAGCTTTATAGCAACCCCGTTTGCTGTCAACATCTCTGTGGCACCAAGGATTCCTGTGTTCCTTGGTTGAGGCAGTTTTGAAACTCCGAGGAAGAAAAGCCGGTGCTTCTGCTGTAGGTAACACAGCATATGTGCCTGCAACTCCTGCTTACCAGGTTCGTCTGCGCAAACCGCAAGACACTCTGAGACAGATTCCTGAGGATCCACGCTAAGTAGGGGTTGAGCAAGACTCAGAACAGGCACAGGACAAGGATTTTGTAGCTACAGCTAAGTACCCTTGTGGCACACTTTAAATGTAGAGTGTCCGCAAACCACCACATGTGAAAGTCTTGGTCTTCAACTCTACTGAGAGAAAGCAGAAACTTATACAAGTAAGGTTTGGTGAGAGATCTTCAGGTCACTGGGGGGTGGGGGGGGCACATGCCTTTGAAGAAGACCGTGGGACCCTTTCTCTCTCCCTTCCTGAACATGCAATGATGGAATTTTCCTGCCATGTGCATATATGCTACCACAACCAAAGCATTGATGTCAGCCCATCTTAGACTTCCACCTGCAAAACTGCGAGCCAAGATAAGCATTTTCTCTGTGTAATATGCTTACCTTATACATTTTGCTGCAGTTCCGAGAAGCTGACTAACACAGCTAGACACACGCCTAGGGGAGCTAGAATTTATGTCAAATATGAAAAGGTACTAGCATTGAAAAGCCTACACATTTTGTACCCAGCTTTGGCTAGCCATGTTTGATGAAAACAACGTGTAGACCAATGTGACAGAGAGTGCAGGTGGGCTACACTTGTATCAAAGGATGAATAAAAAAGCAGTTGAGCTTGGTTCTTCCAAGACTTCCATCCCGGTCAGAACAAATCACATGTGTACATGTGTGTTACAAAGCACCAGTTATGTGGTCCAGCGGAGTCCCACATACAAAAACATAGGCTCCAATATGTGAATTTAAAACCAACATTGCAATATGCAAAGATGACTAATAAAAATTTTTCATTACTAAGGAAATGGCATTTAACAGATATTTTGAAACATTATAAATAGCTAGGTATGGTGGTTCATATCTATAATTCTGGAAATTGGGAGACAGAGGCGGAGGGATTGCAATGATTTGAAGCCGACCAGCCTGGGCTACAGAGTAAGATCCTATTTTTAAAGGTAAATAAAAGCAAAACCCTAAAACAATGGAAAATATGCCATGATAGGTTAAGAAAGAGGAGGGGCTAAAGGAAAGATTTATTTGAGCCTTACTGGTAGAAGTCTCCCCAGATCTTTTATCAAAAGACTCTACAGTTCTGTGATTAGCCCTAATTTAAGAGCATTATCTCCTGCCTGTGCTAAATACTATAGTACTTATAGAATATTTATTAAGATGGGTTTTGAGCTAAATACTTGAATCACCAACCTCAAATTCATATATTGCTATCTTCCTGCATGTGATAGTTAGGAGAGGGTCTATGGAGAGGTCTGGGGTTCAGTGTGTGTGTGTGTTAGGAGGGCGTCTATGGGGAAGACTTGGGTCTAGTGTGTGTGTGTTAGGAGGGGGTCTATGGGGAGAACTGGGATCGTGTGTGTGTGTGTGTGTGTGTGTGTGTGTGTGTGTGTGTGTGTTAGGAGGAGGTCTATGGAGAGGGCTGGGGTTTAGTATATGAACCTGACCATACTAGGGCTTGTGGTCTATCTAAGGAGGAAGGAGATAGTTAGAATGGAACTTGCATGAATAGCATCATTTTTTTTTCCTGAGAGTCTTCAAAGCTTGCTTCTCTTCTTGTCATGTGAGGACACTGACTGCACACTCCATACGAGAACCAGAATCTGCATATACTTTGATCTTAGACTACCTAGTTTCATAAAGTATGGGAAATAGTCGTTGTTGTTCAAGCTTCCCAGAGGCTGTTATCTTGTCCCTTGAATAAAAAGAACATGGTTTAGCCATGCAAGAGAATAATGATAATTAGTAAATATACTATGGGGCCCACACAACACAGTATAATTCAACAGCAAGCGACAATTTTGTGCAGACACCTGCCACTCTACAGAAGAAGCTACAGATATGATGGTCGGTGAAGGAATCAGCCAACACATAAATTGCCTAGCTTTACGTAAATGCAAAGCATTCGAGATAGACAAATCTACAAGGACATCAGGTCAGTAGGTCACAGAAAAGATGGGAATCTCTGCTATAGGCTTTGGATACTGATGGCTTCCTTCGCCTTTGGGTTGGTAGAAGCTAGTGATCTGTTAATGCATTATTCTAAAGGCTTTCACTTTAGAATGGATTAGTTAAAAAGACGCTGCACCCAATACAGAAAGTAGACCCTACAGGGCCACTAAAGGTAACTCAATATAATCTGAGTCTCGATTGGCACCATTTCACCCCTCCGCAATCACAAAGCTCTAGTCAATCAATCGTTCACCTTGAGTATTTAGGGCAGGTGCGGCTTCTTTTCTGAGAGCATCGAGTCCCACCCACACCACCCAGGAATTCCCTCCTGGACTTCTTTCTCAACATTGATAGACGTTTCTGCCAAAATGGGAACAAATTCACAGGT